GGGGGTGGGTGGGGGGTGGGAAGGGGGGGTTTGGTCCGCTGCAGCCGCTGCTGCTGCTGCTGCTGCTGCCGCGCCATGCCGACAAGAGCTTCGGAGAATCCCTCGGACTCTCGGGGAGATTCTCTGGTACTCTCGCGCCATGCCGACAAACAGCTTCGGCTGCGCTGCCGACGCCTGCGTCAGCGTCTCCCCTATTCACAGCTAGAGGGTGTGAATAGGTCTCTAGCTGCGTCAGCGTCTCACCTACCGACAACTCGCGGCGCTGAGTGCACCCAACTCCACACGACGCTGCGAACGGCGTCGGCAGCCACTGACTCTGCAGCCGCAGCCAACCTCTCGGCCCTCTCCACTACAGCCTCGCCGACAATGCCGATTGCCATACCAGCAGCCAAACCGCTCAGGCCGCAGGCAAGCCCGCCGCCTACGCGCACAGCCGCCGACCCCGCCTCGGTCCCACCTCTGCGGCGGCTGTGGGAAGAGGCTTGCTGCGGCGGCGGCGCGCGCCAAAGTGTGCAAACGCCTTGAAAGTGGTGTACGAGGGGGCCTATGGGACATGTCTCGGAGATGTCGCGGACGTGTCCTGGACACGTCCCCTCCCTCGCCTTGCAGGGTGTGTGCGAGGGCGCATGCTCTGCGCCGGTGGTCACCTCGGGTCACCTCGGGTCACCTCGGGTCACCTCGGGTCATCTCGGGTCATCTCGGGTCATCTCGGGTCATCTCGGGTGATCTCGCCTTTTGATCGACGGTGGTCACCTCGTTGGAGATGATGACTGCGATGATGAGGCCGTAGATGCCGAGCACACCCGCCATTACCACCTGCGGGAGGAACCGGGCAGCCGCCTCGGGCCCGTCTGCGCTGCGCAGCGGGCGAGGTGCCGGCTGCCGCTTCGGGCAAGGTGCCGGCTGCCGCAGCGGGCGAGGTGCCGGCTGCCGCAGCGGGCGAGGTGCCGGCTGCCGCTTCCAGGCGCCCTCGCGCGCGGCGGAGCGCCGCGCGCGCAGGCAAAGGGCGGAGGGGAGGGAGGGGGGAGGCGTGCGCGCGCACCGGAACGATGCTCTTCATGATGAGCTCGGGCTGGCCCACGCCTGGCGGCGAGGGCGGCGGCGGGCTGGGAGGGGGAAGGGGGGGGGAGGGGAGGGGAGGAGGGCCGGGGAGAGAAGGTCGAGAGGGCGGCAGTGCTTGAAGGGAGCGGCGGTGAGGGGGGCGGCGGAGACGGAGGCGATGGAGAGGCGCGCGCTGGGGACGGAGGCGGCGGACGGGAACGGCGGCGACGTGGGCGAGGGTTGGGGTGGAGGCGAAGGAGGTGGAGGGCTCGAGGCGGCGAGGGGGCGGCGGACAGGGCGGCGGTGAAGAGCCGGGCGGCGGGCTTGGAGGCGGCGGCGAGGGAGGCGGCGGACTTGGAGGAGGCGGGGAGGGGGGCGGCGGCGATGGGCGCGGCGGGGAGAGGCGCGGCGGGGAGGGGTGCGGGCGTGCCGAGCGTCGAGATGCCGATCCCCGACTTGCCGGTGCCATAGGCAGCGCCCATGTTCGAGAAGACCAGGGCGAAGGCGGCGCCCATGAAGCCCCAGAAGGGCGCCTCCAGCTCGATCGGCATCGATTGGGCGAGGGGAGTGGGAGGGCGTGCAGCTTGTTGGGGCGCGGAGAGCCACAGCTGCGAAATCCGAGAAAAAATCCGCTCCGCCCGTGTTTACTTTAAGGCCCTTGCCCTGCGAACGCGCACCCCCGGGGCTAGGGCTCTCTTGCCCGCAACCCGACACCGATCATCCGGCCCGCTGGGTGCGCTTCTGAGCTCCTCGGCCCTGGATGTGAGGTTACTGATTGCACTCCAAGTGCTCCAAGTGCCGCCACCACTTCCGCCCCCGCCGCCGACGTGGCCGTCACCGCTCCACCCGCGCGGAGCCTGGGGGACCCGGAACCGCCCCGTCGGAGGCTGGGGTACCCGGGGGAGGGGTCCGAGGGGGGGGAGGTGCCGCGGGGAGACAGCGGGTCAGCCGGCGGACCGGAAGGCCGGGACCGGAGGGCCCCGGGTGAGGCCTGTCAAGGGAGGGAGGGGAGAATCGAGCTGACTCGGCCTCTGCGAGTGGGAGTCGGGCCGAGCGAGCCCACCGGGGGTAGACCCGTCGCGGCGGCGGCCGGACCGCCGTGATCCTATACGGCGAGAGAGACCGCGCCTCCCCGAGCCTAGTGAGGAACCGGCGGAGGGGTGGCTGGCCTCGGAGCGGCGCTGAAGGATGGTTACGGTGCGCAGGCGAGGACCTGGGCGAGGTCGAGGCGAGGTCGAGGTCAGGTCACATCGGTCGCTTTCCTCGACACCACGACGCCGTATCCGGTCGGGTAAAGGGAGGGACATAGGCCAGCGTCGCCTTGCTGACCTCGGAGCGGGCCGGCGCTGGGGGATGGTTACGGTGCGCAGGCGAGGAGCTTGAGAGGACCTTGAGAGGTCCGGCCGAGGTCCGGGCGAGGTCGAGGCGAGGTCGAGGTCAGGTCACATCGGTCGCTTTCCTCGACACCACGACGCTGTATCCGGTCGGGGAAAGGGAGGGAGATAGGCCAGCGTCGCCTTGCTGGCCTCGGAGCGGCGCTGAAGGATGGTTACGGTGCGCAGGCGAGGACCTTGAGAGGTAGGAACAACGAAAGACTCGATCTCTCAAATGAAGCTCACGCGGCTCCGTTGGGGACCACCGCTTACACACGGCCGCGTGGCGCAGGCCCGTCCTCTCGAGCACGCACGGCGCAAGGTCCGGGTCCGCGAGGACGTCGGTCGCGACGGCGGGCGGAGGGCTGTGGTGGGCGAGGAGCGCCTCGGCCCTCCTGTTTGCAGCGGGGCTGTCCCGCATCGCGCCTGATCGCGATCAGGGCATCGGGCGGAAGAGCGGCGAGCCGCAGCTCGTACCGGGCGGAGGCGAGCATTTCGCGAGACAAAAAAGAATTCGCGCAGCTTTGCAAAAGGGGAAGTTTCACCGTTGTTTCTAAACAACGAAAGACCCTCGTCTCTCAAAAGACAGCTCACGCGGCTCACGCGGCCGTCCGCCTGCGCACCCTCCTCACGCCGAGGCTGACTAGCGCCTCGTCGCACCTCTCCGCCTGCCTCTCCACCCCCTCCTCCGCCGTCTCTCGAGCGAGCGCCTTCAGCGCCGCAACGCCGCCGACCCGGTGCCACTGCTCAGCGCACGCAGACGAGGAGGTTGCGAGGGCCAGGAGGGCGTTGATGCTGTCTCTGCGCCAGCCATTTTCCTCGGGCTGGTCCAGCTGCGAGAGCAGCAGCGAGAGGCAAATGTCGTCAGCGGGGAGGTCGGGACAGCTGCTGGCCAGGTACACAAGTGACATGGCAGCAGAGAGCTTGCAGCGGTCCGAGGCGCTTGCCTCCTGCGCGAGAGAGGAGAGGACCGCCACACCGCCAGCCTCGACGACGCCCTCGTGCGTGGCGGGTGTTACCTCAATCATGTAGCTGAGCGCCACCGCGGCCAGCTCCTTCTGCCTCTCAGTCCCATCGCGAGCCAGCGAAATAAGCACCTCGATCCCGCCGGCCGCCGCGATCGCCACGCTGTTGGCTTCGTTGATAGCGAGGTTCGCCAGCGCCCCCGCCGCTTCCTCCTTCTGCTCCCCATTCCCGTCGCGAGCCAGCGACACGAGGACCTCAATGCCGCCGGCCGCGGCTATCGCCACCTTGTTGTCGTCGTTGTAAGCGAGGTTCCTCAGCACGCCCGCCGCACGCTCCTTCTGCCTCTCATTCCCGTCGCGAGCCAGCGACATGAGGACCTCGATGCCGCCGGCCGCCGCGATCGCCACTCTGTTGTCGTCGTTGAAAGCGAGAATCCTCAGCGCCCCCGCCACACGCTCCTTCTGCCCTTCTGTCCCGTCGCGAGCCAACGACACGAGGACATCGATGCCACCAGCCGCCGCGATCGCCACGCTGTTGTCGTCGTTGGCAGAGAGGTTCCACAGCGCCCCCGCCGCATGCTCCTTCTGCCCTTCATTCCCGTCGCGAGCCAGCGCGATAAGGACATCAATGCCGCCGGCCGCAGCAATCGCGACTCTGTTGTCGTCGTTGATAGCGAGGTTCCTCAGCGCTCCCGCCGCACGCTCCTTCTGCCCCTCATTCCCATCGCGAGCCAGTGACACGAGGACCTCGATGCCGCCGGCCGCAGCGATCGCCACTCTGTTGTCGTCGTTGGCAGAGAGGCTCCACAGCGTCCCCGCCGCACGCTCCTTCTGCGCCTCACTCCCGTCGCGAGCCAGCGCGACGAGGACCTCAACTCCGCCAGCCGCCGCAATCGCCGCCTTGTTGTCCTCGTCCAGGGCAAGCTCCTGGAGCGTTGCCGCGACGTCCGCCTTCTCGTCCTCGTCTCCAACCCGTAAGAGAGCGACGAGTGCGTCCACCCTCCTGCTGCTGGCCTCCTCTCCCGACAGCCGCCTGAGCTCTCCGAGCGCAGCGGCTTGCAGCTCCGAGGAGGCATCGCCAGCGGTCTCCACCAGCCGCGCGAAGGCACCGCGCGGCGCGCAGATCAGGGACCACCGCTTGCACACGGCCGCGTGGCGCAGGCCCGTCTTCTCGAGCACGCACGGCGCAAGGTCCGGGTCCGCAAGGATGTCGGTCGCGACGGCGGGCGGAGGGCTGTGGTGGGCGAGGAGCGCCTCGGCCCTCCTGTTTGCAGCGGGGCTGTCCCGCATCGCGCCGGCGGTGATCGCGATCAGGGCATCGGGCGGAAGAGCGGCGAGCCGCAGCTCGTACCGGGCGGAGGCGAGCATTTCGCGTGCGCGCGATTTTTCTTCGGTTCGAATGCCGTTTCGATTTTTTTCGCACAGAGGGCACGCGAGGTACGACCGTGCCCGGCCGTGCTATTAAAGCGACTCGGCTCTCTAACAGGCTGCAGCCCAGAGCCACACGGAGTCTACGCGCATCGCTTGTGCATAGCCTCGACCAATCTCCTGTTCACGGTGCAACCGTGAACAAAGAGCTTCTTCGAACCGTTACAAACACGACGCGAGCCGCCAAGCAGGGAGCCTGGGCGACTCGCTTTGACGCTGGCCAGGCCGGAGGCGAGTGCCGCCGCCAGGCCACGACCGACCGCGCCCGTCCTACGGACGGGCGCAATGGGCCAAACGGATCCGCGCCGCAGTGCGTGCAGCACCGCGCCGCCAGTCCAATACATGCAAACCGCAGGCTTTGCAGCGAGGACCAGCCTGCTCAGCTTCGAACGAGGAGCCAGCAGCCAACAGGAGGACAGCAGTCGTCCACGCCAGCTGGAATGCGAGGACCGCCCCAGCCGCAGGTGGCCCCATACGTAATGCTTTGCGCAAAGCACCGTGCAAAAATGGCGTCTTTACATGGCCATGCAGCAAGCAGTGCCGCCAGATGAGCACACGGCCATGGGCGAAGTGCACCCGCAGGGCCAGCTGGCATTGCGTGGTGCACTCGCAAATCAACCCGCCCTCTCGTGCCAAGGACGGCGCGAGGGGAGCGCGAGCATCCACCAGCAGCCGTCTGGCTGCTGGTGTGAGCCATACTCAACACGCCGCGCGGAGCGGAGTGCGGAGCCATGAATGAGCAGTAGAGCCTGCGCCTCGAAGCACGGCCTGCGGCCCCTACCCTGCCGTCGGCCCGCCACTGGCGGCGTCGAGGACAGTTCGAGACGGTGTGCGGTGTCAGCCTGTGAGGCGCACTGCACTCGAACTGCACTAGTGGAAGCACCAACACGGCCCTCGGGCTGTTTGGGGACCCGGACGCCAGCGGCCCCCCGGGAGAGGGGTGTCCTGGTTGTGTCTTGTCTGAGTGCCAGCGCACGCAGCTATCTTAACGGCGTGAGGTCAGCAAGAACCCTCGCGGCGTAGTGCAGTCTGTGAGGGTGTGTGCCTGCACGGATTGCACAAGTAACAAATCACTCCTGTCGGCATTCCTCCGGAACGGGGCGACAGAACACGTGTTATTCCGTAGTCGGGATGACCACAAATCGTCAGGGCACTCAAGAAGAGGCCAGCCGGCACTTCGAGCTGCGCTCGACATGGGGATGCGCACAGTCAATATATGTCAATGCGCGCCGCGCGAGCGAGTCTAAAGACTCGGTCGCGAACTTTCCGAGAAGGAAGACAAGTGGGGCGGCGGCGTCGATAGATATCGACGCCGCCGTCGCCGCGCATCATGACGAGTTCGCATTCCCCATGTGACCCTCTATACCTCACCTTCGAGACAAGCCAGGGTTCAACCCAATGGACCTAGTGTGGCGTCGAGGCCCGCACTGTCTGGACATGCGGGCCGCGGCTGACAGAACGGCGGGCTAGGCATTGAGAGCCCAGGAGTTTTAATTCGCACAGAGGGCACGCGAGGTACGACCGTGCCCGGCCGTGCTATTAAAGCGACTCGGCTCTCTAACAGGCTGCAGCCCAGAGCCACACGGAGTCTACGCGCATCGCTTGTGCATAGCCTCGACCAATCTCCTGTTCACGGTGCAACCGTGAACAAAGAGCTTCTTCGAACCGTTACAAACACGACGCGAGCCGCCCAGCAGGGAGCCTGGGCGACTCGCTTTGACCTCCCCCCCCGCCCCACAGTGCGCCAGCGGCGCATTTGGGATGGACACCACACGTCGTCACACCGAGCAGCTCTCTGTCAACGGAAATTTCTCAGTTCTGATGCGTCATCCGGAT